AAATTTTTTATATTAAAAATATGAGAAATGAAAAAAAGAATGAAAATTTGAAACCAGTAACATGACTTCTCATTAAATTTATTATATATGCATATAATATTACAAATTTTAAAAAAAATTAATAATTAAATACTATATGATTCACCTTTTAATATTTTAAATGATATGGCGTAAGTTATGTCATTGATCTCATTTTTGCTCCAAATTTTGGTTTTGTTTACCATTATTTTAAAAATACAAATTATTCTTAAATTCTTGCTTAATTTCGAAAAAATTCAAAAAAACAATGACTTAACCTGGAATGAGGGAGTGGTATGGCCAAGAACTTTTCAGGATATTAATACACGCGCTAATAACACGCGTGGAAAAAATTTTGTCTGAATTGGAAGCAGTGAAATTATGCAGCTTATATGAAAGTAGAATGGGCACCAATACCAACCCTAAAAACACCAAGTTTCATTTCAGGTGCAGACTGAGACCTGAGGTTAGAATCCCTCACCTAAGTTGAGAAAAACAAACAATCCAATCAACACCCACATAAAAAGACTCTTTCTTTTTCTTTCTTTCATTTTCTCTCAATTTCTCTGTGTCAACTGTCAAGGGTTTTCTTGTTTTATTTTGTTTTTCTTTACAGGAATCCATCTTTCCCCCTCTGATTTTCACAAATTTGGTCACATGTAGAGTCCTGACTCACAAAAGAAACACAACCCTTTGTTCTCAAGAAGAAGAAATCATAGATAAACAAACAGAAAAAAGAAGCACACATTTATATATATCCATATTAGAGTATAGATCATAAAAGGGTATAATTATTATTACTTTTTTAGTAGGGATTATGGGGAGGGGAAGAGTGGAGCTGAAGAGGATAGAGAACAAGATAAACAGGCAGGTGACATTTGCAAAGAGAAGGAATGGGTTGCTGAAGAAAGCTTATGAGCTCTCTGTGTTGTGTGATGCTGAGGTTGCTCTCATTATCTTCTCCAGCCGTGGGAAGCTCTATGAATTTTGCAGCAGCCCTAGGTAAATTATTTGCTATTTATATTCATCTATATTTGCAGTTTTGTGAGCTCTTTTTGGTTGATTTGTTCATGGGTTTACACTACAGATTAAAAAATTTTTCCCTTTATATATGAACCATGATGAGGTTAAATCTGTTATGACTCATGAGTTCATGAATATGATCATTTATCTTTCCTCCTTAATTACTAGCTAGCTTCATTTTTGGTGAGTTTTTCAAAACTTAAGGTTTAGGGTTTCCACTTGCAATTTGCCTTGATCTGCACGATCTGAGTTGTATCTTTGCCTTTTCTTTCTCTTCACCTTAAATTGTTTTTATCTGGGTTGGATTAGATTTTTTTTTTTTCTTTTTAAACAGATTCAAATCTAAATTTTCATCTCTAAAGACATTAAATTTATATTATATATTTTTTTGGTACATAAATTTATATTGTATATTCATCTTTGATGATTACATCTTTCTAGGAAGCAAGATTTGATTTTCCTAGGTTTTCTTTGGATGGAAGCTCATGTTTTATAAAATCTTCCTAAAAAGTTTGTAAATTGGACAAATGGAGAGAGACTGAAGGGTCTTACCCTTGGAGCTGCAGTGCCTTTAGGGTCTGCGCATGCACTTTTCTGCTTGGTGTAAAATAGTACCAGACTTCCATGGCGCAGCTAGCTATCTAGCTACTTGCTACAGAGAAGAGATGAAGAATAGCTTTCCTCTGTAGTACTCTAAGGGCACAATTTCCACAATTTTTTCTACTTGACCAAGAAGAAAAACAGTTCTTGAAAATCAAAGGCTTTTTTCATACATGGTTCTTTTTAATAATAAACCATTCTTCTGGTTGGGGATGGTGATTTGTTTAGTTTTCATTTTTATATGCTCCATTTAGCAACTAATATTATATATAGCTTCTTGAGTTTCAAATAGGCACTAGCCAAGGAAAAAAAATGAAAAACTCAAGTGTAAGAACAATATTTAACTATGAAGGCCAAAGAAAAAAGAACAAAGTCAAAAGACTGACGTAACTAGGATTTTAGCTTAAACTCATGCACGCAAGCCTACCATTTAATCTTGTAGATAACCTTATATTCATAAGTTAATGATATAACCTTTATTAATAAGTGTAAAAGTAAAATAAATAATTAAAACTAATAGTTAAAGAGAGATTTTAATTTGGTTTAAAGTTCTAGTTTTAGATTTTAAAAAAATAAACTAATGCAACATTCCACCTTAAGTAAATGTACTTCAAAAGGGAAGTATCTTTTGTCTTTTAACATGCTTCCTTAATGAAGTAATGAGTGTCCCTTAATGACTTTCAGTATTTGTTGATAAAAAAAAAAAAGGTGGGGAAAACCAAAGCTCCTTAGCCATTATATTACCCCTCCTTGGTAGCAAGAAGCTATGAGGTTTAGAAATTCTCCGCTCATTAATTATATAACAAGAACAAATAATCTATAGTAAGATAAAACAAATAAATAGACCAAACTAATAGTAGATGAGAGTCATAAGACTTCTATATTCACCTCAAAAGACATAACCTTTTTTTGGCCTTCATTGCCACAGCTTATATATATACTTCTATGCTAACGCTGCACATATATACTCAAATAGAAGCTTAAAGATTAATTTGCAATGTGGATTATAGTAACAATCAAATTTTTGTAATAGTGTCTATGAGTTGGGTACCTAAATTAATAAAAATTTTGATTCATTTAAAGAAAAAAAGAGGAAGAAGAAGAAGAAGCTTAATGATTTGCACTTAAAAGCAAAAGGAAAGGATTATAACACACGATGGAGGCTAGTTTCCTCCAGACTTAGTTTGTAACTTCATTTTTCTTAATAATGTACCAATAATAATAATAATAATAATAACAAACTTTAATTTTGTTTAGCGAGTGATAAGCATTTTCCAAAATTTTATCGTACTTTGGCAGAAAGTAAACCCAGAACGGCTATTTGAAGAAGCAAAATAGTTAATTTCTACCTCATCTATTGTCCTCCTCCTGTGTCCCTCTCTTTCCTTTTAAAAAATTACCCAAAGCACTTGAGTTTGTAGCTTAATTAGTTAGTAAAATGCATGTTCTTTCATCCAAAAGAGGTGGGTTCGAATCCCACCTACCCAAATTTTCTAAATAAAGATTCCAAAACAAAATTTGTCTTACCTGTTTGCTTCCTCTCTCCATAATCCAAACTTGGTGTAATATCTTGTAAAATTGTGAAATAATATTTTTCAACAATGCTAGCCTTCTAGGTACAATACTTGATTCCATTTGAATGGGTGTCAAATGTAGTATGCTCTTATTTTTATTGGAATCCTGATGAGTTTCTTTCTTCTTTGGCCTTCCAGCATGCTCAAGACCCTTGAGAGATATCAGAAATGCAGCTATAGTACAGTGGAAGTTAACAAACCAGCCAAGGAGCTTGAGGTAATATATACAGAAGAGCTTGTGGTATTCATGAATATATAGCAATAACATCTTGATCATCTTTACCTTAGTAATATAGTAATTGATTTGGAGAGATCATGACATGTCCATAAAGTGTCCGTTAGACTGTGGCACTAAGACATAAAAGGAAGAAGGAAAACTATTGATAACCTGTTCCCACAGACAACGTTTTGGTTCTCTCACCCCGTTATTGTTCCTTCTAACAGAGCAGCTACAGGGAATACCTTAAACTGAAAGCTAGGTACGAGACCCTACAGCGAACCCAAAGGTAACTAATCTGAACAATTGTCCCTAGATTCTTTTAGGTTGTGACTGTTTTTTCCTTTGAGAGTTTTTCTTCAATTTTTAACTTGGAAATGTTTAACCAGCTTAGTGCAGGCCTGCAGGAATCTTATAGTATGCATGAATTATTGTCATGTTCTTTGTTTTGTAGAAATCTTCTTGGAGAGGACTTGGGTCCTTTGAACACAAAGGAGCTTGAGCAGCTTGAACGTCAACTAGAGACATCCTTGAAGCAAGTCCGCTCCACCAAGGTAATTTAAATTACAGTGTAAATGGAGTTTTAAGATTGACATTGGATATATTATCTGTCTTATAAGGTGATATGCACTCTGATGGTATACTTTCAAGTTTCAGGGTGCAGCATATTTACTTCTAGTATATAGAACCTTTTGTATGAGTTACATAACCAAGGTTTCAAATTTTGGTGTTAACCCCAAATGTTGGATGGGGATTACTACTTATTCCATAATGCCATTAGGGTTTGCAATTGTCCATATTATTTTGTGTTGGTATAATTTCAATTTTATATTATGGTATTTGGAAACTTATTACATCTGTGGTAGTTTGAGCCTAAATAATGCATCTCCTAATCATGATTTCAAGTTATACACTAATTTTTTTATGTGGAGTTTGAGAATGAGGAGCTTTCTTGAGCACTTGTAAACAACAGGAAAGTTGCAATTATACCCGTTAATTAGTTTCAGTACTTCCTACAATTTCAATTCAAAGCAGAGGAATAAGTCTTTAATTATACTATTAGCTTTCACAAGAGCAAGGTTAACAATTTTGGCACCTTAAGGGAATCCATTCTGTTGGAAGAAAAAGTTCTTCCAAACAAGAGTAGAGCAGCTGTTTAGTGGTCTAATGGAACTGCAATGAAAAATACAACAGAGAGTTTCTTATGCATCATTCTGCAGAATTTTACCGTATGATTTTGAAATTTTCTTTGAATGCCTTAATTAACTTTTTACATTCTAACTCTAACTGCGTATCTATTTGCAGACTCAATATATGCTTGACCAGCTTTCTGACCTTCAAAATAAGGTATATCAGGTTTTGAAAAATCACTTCCATGCACTTTCATTCTCTTCTAATTAAGTTCTAATAGTAGGAGTACTCTACTGTGTTTACCTGATACAGGAACATATGTTGCTGGAAGCTAACAGAGCCTTGACAATAAAGGTAACATGGTTATTTGCAATTTTTTGAGTTAACATATGTGAAAAGAAAAGGACATTAAGATGCATATTATATTCATGGAAGCTTAACAAATGTTGTCCTCCACTAGCCTCTAGCTGCATAATTATTTAGTTTTTTGTATTGTCTCCTTGCTGTCTCCTACATGAACAAGCAGATTTGGCTCTCAGATGTGATAGCTAGGACACTCAACAATCTTGTCTTGAACTTAGGCTGAGCTTCAAGTTCATTCCCCTCCCCACTTCTTCTTAATTGCAGCCTTTTCACCTAGCATAAAGCATGGTAATGTATATTATCATCATTTGAAATATTGATGGCTCACTTACGTACCAAATCTAAAGCAAACTTTTGATATGAACTTTAAAAGATCATTTGGATTTAGGGCATGTTAATTTGGCTTCTTCACATGTAGTATTCAAATTTGAATTGAAGTCCTAAACTGATCCAAGAAAGATTGGAAAGGTGTAAGATGTTGAGAAATTTTCCTTGTGTATTTCTCCTGATTTAACATCATACATAGTTAGACTGCCTACTCCTCATGCACCAAAAGGTAGGACGCTGCCTAATTTTCCTTCCCCATTCACCATCCAATTATACTCATTAAGTTTTTATGTTTTTCTGCAGCTGGATGAAGTAAGTGCAAGAAACCCGCTTCGAGCATCATGGGATGCTGGTGATCAAAATGTATCATACAATAACCAGCAGGTTCAATCTCAGGGCTTATTTCAACGGCTGGAATTGAATCCCACTTTGCAGATAGGGTAAAAACACATTCTTTCTTACAATCTTTCTAAATAGGCATCATATATATAGTGCTTTAGTTCCCTTATACTCAGCACCATCCCTTCTGATATCTATTCCTGGTTTCAGATACAATCCTGTTGGTTCAGACCAGATGGCCGCAACCACTTCTCATGCTCAACAGGTCAATGGCTTCATCCCTGGTTGGATGCTTTGAGTTTTGCATAAACTCTACGCAGCGCCATTCCTGGTCATAAAAATACTATCCTTACTAGCTAAAAATGCTTCTTGATGTTGGCAATATGTAAATTGGTTTCAAGAGCATTGACATAAAAACAGCAGTGACTGATCTGGACATACTACGTACATGAAACCTTGAGCCACAGACAGAAGGCATGTAGCCCCATTTTATGCTTTTGTGTGTTGAAGAACCTAAGACTTTTTATTTACAATCCCTTTGTTTGGACTTCTCTTTCTTTTCAATTTCCATCTTCTGCTAGTTTGTATGCATATAATATTTTGGGTGAAGTTTTCTAGGTTGTGATAATGCAATGTTAAATTAATACTTTCTAGATTTAGTGCAGAGAAAATGGAAGGAAACTTGAATTGTCAAGCTACATTAGGAAACCAGATAAATTTAGGAATTAACACCAACTCTCCATGTGATGGCTAGGTTTTGACAAAAGATCAAAATTTAGGTTGTCCCAGACAGCAACTTTCCCCATTAAAGGAAAGGCAGCATGTTGCAAGGAAGAATTAAGACCCCAAATTGATAGTTTTATACTCGAATTTTGAAACGGGATGAGAGATATATAGGAAATGGGAGACTATTTACTATTGTCCAACTCTAAGAAAAGGAAAATTTTCTCTTTTGCAGGGACCAGAGAGAGGGAAAGAAGTTACTGGTAAAAATTGGTTACATGACTAAGGTTATTGTCACCATAATTTTTGTTAAAGTCATCAATTTAATTAAATTTTATCAATTTATAATTTTTTTAAATAATTAGTTATGGTATATGAAAATATCTTTTTATGAATTGATTTCAATCTATTAAATAATGAATATTAACAATTTTATTAGTTATTGGTTATTGTTAATAGTTAAATTAAGATAAAAATTTAATAGTTTTTAGTAGTCTTAATAGAAGTTATGGTGGCCATAACCATTTCTAGGTCATATAAGCCAAGGGCCTATTTGATTACAACATCACTTTACTAGAAAAGTTTTTACTAAGAAAGTGATTAGGAAAATATTATATAAAAAGTCACTAAATTTAATTTGTAATGAAACTTGTTAGAATTTTATTGAATTATTAAGTTTACTGTGTTTGATAAAAGAAATTGATATAGAAAAAAATTAATAAAGTTGTTAAGTGGGTTCGATGTAGAGATAGTTAATCATAAGGATTTTTTCCTTTCAAACTAAATGGAAAGAAAATTTTATAGGTTGAAAATTATATTAAGAAAAATAAAAGTTTAAAATATCACTTTTACCCTTCTTTTATTATAGTATTAATATATGAAAGTACATAAATAATCTTATAAAGAAAAAAGTTTAGAAAATTTTAAGAAGGAAAAGTTTTCCTCAACCAAACACCCCCTAAGAAAAAGTATTTTTCCTTTTTTTTTTTTTTTAACAGCAAAGGGAGGAATTAGATTAGGTCCAGTGGGCTTATGCAACTGTTTCATTCGGCAGACCTTAGCCCATAAGACAGAGGGTTAAACCTTCTCTCTTCATAAATTTTACTTTCCCCAGGCCCAAAAAAGAGAGCTTCTTTCCGCCTGCGTTGCACCCATGTAAAATGGAAATCGAGTAGCAGTCTCCAATCCATTCTCCAACCTCTTGGTTATGATAATTAGGTGGTCCTCATTTTCAAATGGTTACTTTTAGTAAGTTTCAATACAATTTATTTATTTATTTCATTAAAATTAGAAAAAAAACAGTACGTAATCTCTTACGTCACAGTTAAATACCAACATGGAGCAATGTAAGATGGTGTATCTTTGTAATAAAAATACATTTTCCTTTTTTACAACAAAGAGTACAACATTTAACCTCCAAAAATAATGGGGCTTGGATAAATTTTTTCATAGCATAGATATTTGGAAATTTGCTCTGGCTAATTTTAAAATTATTTACAAATGGTTCTATCTACAATATCAAGTAATGCTCCATTTTTAAGGGGTGAGAAGTGTGATTTACTAGTATTATTTACCTTTACCCTTAAATAACAATGAAAGGATTCAAATAAGCATTTTTAATAGTATTTTTAATCAATTAAGCTAACCCTAATATGAAGAGTGAATCAAAATAAGCAAAGAAGGAAACAGAAGATACCAGCAAGGAAAAAGAAATAGGAGATATCAGCAAGAAAAATGAGTATGTAGCTATCAATCATAAAGCTCAGTTTAAGGAGAAATTAAGCAATGGTCACAAGCAATGTTCCTGTCCATGATTTATGGTATACATTTAGGATCTAGACATATTCTTGTATAGATATACACTGATATATACTTGTATAGAATTTAACTAAAATTCAATACAATACAGTATTCTAAAACTCTTTTCTTTTTTGGCTTTTCTTTATGATATCAGAGCAGGTCACAATCTGCATCTGAATACTTTTGCCTTGTTTGATTAGTTTCTTTGTTTCTCCTTACAAATCAAAGAATCAGTTTACACCATGGCCAAAAACAAGAATACACTTACCATTCAAAGCTTCCACCATATGGCAAGCTTGGTCTCGATCAAGTTGTCAAGTACCAATTTCCTGTTATGGAAGTCACAAATTTATCTAGTCATTAGGAGTGCCCGACCAATGCATCATCTTCAAGAAGAGGCTCCACCTAGCAATATTATCAAAGATGGTAAAGAAGAGTCAAACCCAGTCTATGAAGTTTGGTTGAGTAATGACGACCTGCTAACTAGTTGGCTGCTCAGGATGATGAGTGAAAAGGCACTCAGCCTAGTTGTTGGGTGTGAAACAGCTCTTCATATTTGGAATTTTCTAGAAGGCCATTATCTTGCCTCTTCGAAGGAACAGAAACTACACCTCAAAAGGCAATTGGCAATCACAAAAGGAGACAATGAATCACTTGAGGATTTCATAAAAAAATTCAAAGGGACTTGTGATAGTTTAGTTGCAATTTGCAAACCTCTAGATGATCTTGACAAAGTGTTCCAATTATCTAGAGTTGTAAGGACAAGGTATCAACCTTACAATTTGGCAGTACTATCAAAGGCACCTTATCCTACATTTAGTCAATATACTGCAAGATTATTGAATAATGAAAGAGACATTCAAGTGGTAGAACAGGAAGACAAGGACAAGGTCCCACCATATGCTCAGGTGTTTGTAGCTTAAAGAGGAAGATGACAACAAGGTAAAGGATATAGTGGAAGAAATTTAAACTCAAGAGGAAGGAGCTTTGATCAAGCTAGGAATTACAACCAAAATTGGACTAGCAATAGCAGGAACAATCTAGTGAACACAAATCCAATACCTCAACAAACAAATCCAGTACCTCAACAAACAAATCCAATACCTCAGCAAACTTTGTCTCAGAAGGTTTAGCAGAAAAAGGTAATACAAAAAGATGAAAACTCATGTCAGATATGTGGCATTACAGGGCATACAGCACTAAAACACTGGTACAGATTTGATCATGCATACCAAAGTGAGGAACTACCACAAGCATTAGCAAGTCTCACTATGATGAATGACAAAGATCCAAACTACTATGTGGACACTAGTGCTACAGACCATATGACTTTGAATTCAAGTAATCTTCTTTCTAAAAGACCTTATAACGGAAATCAAAAAGTATTTATAGGTGATGGCACTCCTTTTAATATCTCACATATTGGTATTACTTCTATTGGAAGATTAAAACTTAGTGGTGTTCTTGTAGTACCTAACCTTAAGAAAAATCTTATTTTAGTTAGTAAATGTACAAAATAAAACCCATATATCTTTGAATTATCATCTAATGGCTTTGTGATTAAGGACTAGATAACTTAAGCAATGGTAGCCAAAGGAACTAGGAAGGGTCAGCTTTATGCACTTGAAGAGGAAGAAAGATATGCTTTAGCTGCTATCTCAAATAAAGCTTCGGACTCCATTTGGCACCAAAGATTAGGACATCCTAATTCTAATGTCCTAAAAACCTTAGTTGCCAAAAACAATATTGTTGTATCAAACTGGACCAAATCACCTCATTTATGTTCTGGTTGTCAAATGGGAAAAGTTGTAAGCTACCTTTTACTAGAAATAATGAAAGAGCTGAATATTTGTTTCAAAAAGTACACAGTGACTTATAGGGTCCTTCTCCAATCCAATCTATAAATCATATTACTTATTATGTAATTTTTATAGATGATTACAGCAGGTATACTTGGTTTTATCCACTTCATAAGAAATCTGACTTCTTTGATGTGTTTTAGAAATTTCAAAGAATGATAGCAACTCAGTTTAACAAGAACATACAAATATTTCAATGTGATGGAGGTGGAGAATTTTCTAGCAAAACATTTGTTAACCACTTAGCTGAATGCGGCATAAAGCTCCAAGTATCTTGTCCTGGCACACTTGAGCAAAATGGGGTAACCGAGAGGAAACACAAGCATGTAGTTGAAACAAGTTTGACAATGTTACTTCATGCCAATATGCCATCTTATTACTGGACTGATAACTTCTTTACTTTAGTTTTTCTCATTAATAGAATGCCTACACTAGTCTTGAAAAACAAGAGTCCTTATTATACTCTTTATGGTTAAGTCCTTGATTATTTTATGCTAAAAGTGTTTGGCTGTCATTGTTTTCCATATCTTAGAGATTATGCTGCAAACAAACTTCAACCTAGGTCTTTACCTTGTGTCTTTTTAGGCTATAGTCAAATTTATAAAGGGCATAAGTGTTTGCATCCTTCTACTCAACGTATATACATATCTAGACATGTTGTGTTTAATGAAAACTTACTTCCTTATACTAATCTAACCAAAACACTAAGTGAAATTAGTACAAGTGGTGAGCTTTGCAAACATCCAGATGTAGATGAATGCCTACATACTTCCTCAAATTTGCAGCCTTCAGGCAAGCTAGATGAGACATCTGTGGATAAATCCAATTCTATGTTTGTTCCAATATCTAAGGTTATTGATATAGGTAGAGAAGAAGAACATAAAGCAAACTTCACTATTGAGGAAAAAGAGGATCAAAGGCAAGTGGAACTTGAATGCTCAACAAGTGTTAGTCATGACTAACGGGATAGCCAAGACCAAGTAGAACATGATTCTCCTCTTTTAACTTTCCCTCAATCTGGGATAAGCATTCATGAAACGAAGTGGTAGACTCATTGGCTCAAGAAATAGTACTTCTCAAGCATCGAATTCGAGTCTTGGAGGGGTACCTCCACCACTCCATAATGCCACTTCAACATCAATTCACTCAATGACAACAAGAACAAAATCAAGGAAGCATACAGGATATGTTCAAACTAATTTCTCAAAAATTGTAAATCATATGACTACAACTAACCCATCTTCTAATGCTGTAGGCCTGGACATTAAAGAGCCCA